TATATATATATATATATATATATATTATTTTTATTTATTTTTTTACCATTTTTGACATTCTTTTTATGACCATGGCTGAGAAAGGACAGAAAAGGCAGAGCAGGAAGAGAAGCAAAAATGAAAGATGTTGCTCACATCAAATCATGTGCGCCAACTACTAGGCCACAACAATTTTTGGTTTTAAGAAATGTTTCCCTTTAATGCAAATATTCAGATTTATTCATTCATTAATTATATATTTTTTTTACCAAGTTTTACTAGTTTACTCATTTTACTAGTCAAATAGCACTTTTATGAGCATGAAAATAAGCAAGATTAGTTTCCATATTATCTGGCTGTATAAATGGCTCAGTGTTTTACCTCAGAATGACACAGCACAGGCTTTAGCCGTAAAGTCCTTCTTCCTACTTACTTTGGATGTTAACATGAGCATTCCACACACTATATAAAAATGTAAATCAACTTCACTGTAAAGCGCAGGGACTTTTATATGGGAATTTCTTTTACAAGCGTAGTAGTCTAGACCACAGTACTTATGGGAGGACCATGGCAACACACAAGCATTTGTTGACATGATTGTTATCGGAACTGATGATCATTGTCACAAAAAGAACAAGCCTTGGCCTTCATATGATAGGAATCCTAAATGTTTTGCTTCGAGAAGTTCCTGCAAACTCTCAAAGTTGCAAAACATTTCGACAATGTTCAAATCCAGGTCTCTCACAGAAGAAGACTAAACATGAACTGATTATTCTGAGCTTTGCTGCCTTGTAATAATAACACACTGAATCTCTGATGTTTGGACAAAGCAAGCTGAGGTCTCGGCTCTTTTCTGCGGTTTTGGTTCAGTTCCTCATTTGGTCGAGTCAAAGATACACTCAGTACAGCTTACGCACTCTTGAAACCACCAGAACCCGAGCCTGGATGAACCGAAGGTTTTGGTGATTTGGCATTCACGTTAATGCTTTTCATTTAATGTTGATAATTATATAGCTATATTGTTTTTTTTAAACCCTTCGACTATTCAGCAAAAAGCCACTGGTAATAATACAAATCCCAAAAATATGAGAACATATACAGAGAGAGGCCGCTCGCAGAAGCTAATGCGTGTGTTTCTGTCATTCCCGTTTCCCGTCCAGAGGTCTGAACGGAGTATTTGCTCTCTTCAGATCCAAATCCTTCATGATGAACAGCCTTATACCAGCCAGTAACTCCACAGAGATCTGATCCTCCTCCACGAGCCCTCTGCTTCTGCCTCTAATAACACCAAAAATCACATCCATCAGTGTGGACCCCAAGACTGGCCCTCTCAGAAAGTCTGAGTCAACAAAGACAGAGAGGTCTGTAATGCCTAGCAGAAGAAACTAGGTGTTCTCGCAACTTCCTGCCATTTGGATACATGAATTGTTTGGTGTTTATAGAGGGGAAAACACTATTGTGTTATGACAAGATATTTTAATCGATGGACAATTGTTAATTTATCTTTTGTAATTTCACACGAAAGTCACAAAGTTCTGACAAAAAATTAAACACTGCTAATGTGAGTTTTATAAGTGTTGCTATTTTATTTAATTATTAGCATTAAATATAATTAAGTAATTAACATTTTGTATTTTATAAGTTTATTATTATCATCATATTTTATATCAAGTAAAACAAGCATCTTAAAACATTACTCATATAACATAACTTATTTAAAAGAAATACATTTAAAATAAATAAAAATTATATATAAATAAATTATAAAAAGTATATATATATATTCCTTTATTTTAAATATATTTTTTTCTGAAGAAAATGTGAGCTGGACATTTCTGCAGTTGCTAAGTTATTTACAACATTTTTAGAGTGTTGTTAAGGTGTGCTGGGTGGTTGCTAGGGTATTGCTTGTTGGTTGCTAGGTTGTTATGGGTGTTTTCCCACCTCTAGTTGTCTGTTATTGTGTTTGTGATGTCTGTCTTTCATCTATGGGTTTTTTCCCCTTTTTTATCTTCCATCAAAGACTTTTTTAGCACACATTTCCTCATTAATCCACATAATCTGATGTATCATTCATGTTCGTAGCGCAAATGAAATGAGTTTTGCAAACCATCTAACCCAACATATGAGCAATAATAATAGTGATTTGTCTTAGCAAGCATGTCTAAAAGGTTTTTCCAGTTTACTCCTTATGCTTTGATAAATGAATTATGGCCTATGTCACATCTGTCCAGAATGAGCTTCTGTGAATTTCCACTAATCCATTACTCCGGTTCATGTCGTCCAGTGTTTGGCTTAGTGTGGAGCTACTAAATTATTCATATAAGTAAATATATTTAAATATTAAAAAGACCACATGTGCTGAATTATTAAAATGTTTAAATTTGCTGAAATATTTAAAACATCAGTTATGAGTTTATTAGGTGTTAATTTGTATCACCAGGACTTTGCAAACAACTCCACGGAGTGAGTGAGTGAGTGAGTGAGTGAGTGAGTGAGTGAGTGAGTGTGTGTGTGTGTGTGTGTGTGTGTGTGTGTGTGTGTGTGTGTGTGTGTGTGTGTGTGTGTCTGTGTGTGTGTG